ACCTAATTTAACTGTATTTACAATATAATTGCAATTTATTTATTATTTATAGCTTGTCAATATTACTCTTTTCCTTTAAAGTATGAGTTTAAAAATTATGTAGAAAAAAATTCCACAACTTTTATGAATCTAAGCAAGTGGAGGGATTTGTTCACAGATTTCGGAGTGGGGGTCAGAATGTTATAATCTTTAAACCGAAAAAAATATTGACAAGGCATAAATAGTAAATTGTAATGATATTGCAAGTGTGGTTAAATTAAGTACCAATGTGCTCAGTGAGTAAATGGGTTGAAATTTTAGAAGTGAAGTGAGATTAGAAGCGTGTGATGAAAAGAGTATCTGCGCTATTGAAATCATGGGCGAAAATGACCGTTCCGCGCGTCACTAAAATCGTCACCGCTTTACCAAATGTCATTTTGACACGGAAATTTTGTCACATCATTGGACTAGTATTAAAAACTGCGTCTAATGTATATAGTGAATATGCTGGGAGCTCCGGGCACTATAAAAGGTTCCCTCGTAAGCCATGCTTTACTAGCTTAAAAGCCCATCTTAAAAACGGGCTACATTTATAAGAATGTCCAAAACTTTCAAACAAATGATGTATGCACATATAGGGGTAGGAAAAAAATCTGAATTTGAAGATTATTTTTATTATAATCTAATGAATATTTTATTCACATTGAGAAGGAATTTGAACAGCGGTAACCTAATTCATGGAAAGCTCCTCAGAACACTAATGTAATATTTAAAATTAATATGTTCACCCTTATCATGTTGGAGCTCCTTAAACAACTCTCAAATAATTCGCTTGGTTTAAAATTTCGCTGGGTTAAGCAAATAAGCCATGCAAATCTGCCTATTCGCTTAATAATTCACCGCAATAATTTGCTCCGGTGTGAGATAAAGTGAGATTGTGCGCGAACTTTAAAATGTACCACAAAACCAGATGATGAGCTCAAAAATAAGCGATACCAACTCCACTCTGGAGCCCCGCTTGCTTTCCCCGATTTTCGCAAGGTTAGAATGGCAAGCTCTGATTGGTTGTCACGGTGACGGTGGCACCTTCGCTAACATAAGCGAAATTGGTAACCAAACGAAACATTTGACGTGAGACGTATTATGGGAAATGTTCCATTCTACGTTGCATCGATTTCTTGGAATTAAATATAAAAACTTGCAAGTAGAGTTCCGGGTGAAACCGTTAATTCAACATAGCTATTTTTGAATTATATTCAACCAGCCCCCTTTTAAAAATTGAGAAAAGAAACTTGAAAAAATGAGAAATCCAATGCACACTCGGTACAACAAGAATTAGACCCCAACTTGCATTTGCAATTCGAATTTACCCATGAATACGGACATTTTGATGCATCAAAAGTTTCAAAATTCGAAAATTGGCGGCTCTTTGACTTACACATAAATCGTTAAAAAAGTCATGGTCCTACCCATTTCGAGTCTGACAACCTGATGCCAGAATTTTCTCCATTTGAACAGCTAACTTTTCAGCTTTTGTTGCCCGACTGAAAATGCGTCGGACCATGAGATTTTTTGGGTCAAAGTTTGTGTGGGGGCCATCTTATATCGCAAGAGCCGTAACAAACTCTGGCCACTAATGAGTGTATAGAGAGAGAAACAAAGTGAGAAAAAGGATCGCGCATACGACCCTAACGCACGATGGTGGTGGATACCCACCGCCATCCATTTTTCTCACTCTGTCTCACCTTCTCCTGCCAAATATGGGAAATTATTTTGTGGAACATTTGACCTGGTTTTTATCACGTGTCTGAGGAGCCCAATTACAAAGAAGTTAGGTAAAGCGGAAGATTTCCCACCCGTATAATATACATAATTCCACATTTAGAATTCCGAAAATTAGGAAAATTTTCACGCCATCAGTGAAGTTGTTTAACATTGCAGGTTAGCTGATTAAAATTAAAAACGGACATAAAAGTCGTCTGTGAAATTGGAACCAGTTATGGGAAAAATTTAGACTCGAAATGATACAGTTTGGCCGCCTCCAGCATAGCGAAAATTTTAGGTCATTTTAAGGTAACTGGATACATAGCGACATTTTTTGGTCATTTTAAGGTCACTGTAGCCATGGCGACAAATTTAGGTCGTTTCTAGGTCACTGGAGACATGGCTATAATTTGTAGGCCACTGTTAGGTCATATAACGCATGGCAACATTTATTCCTTAATTTACGGTATCCGATATAAACCGAATTTGTGCGGTGCAAATAATGCATGAGGACACTGTATTATTTCGAGTCTCAATTTTTCCCATACCCAGTTCCAACTTCACAGACGTAAGAAAACACATGTTTTGGCACTTGTTTTGTTGATGCAAATCCACAAATATTCCAGTAGTACGTACATAATTTAAACTTGTCAAAGAATTAATTGATTTTGAAATATCGGTTTTAGATAAAAGTCCTTGTTTGTTCTAACAATGCAAGTCTTTTACATCTTTAAGTCTTTTAATTAATAAGCAAGCGATAAAGGTAAATGATTTGTTAAGTAAGTGTAACCTCTTGACAATACGTGAGCGTCGCGATTTATTTCTGTATAAGTACGCTTTTAAACACCTCCAAGACCAAATAAGTTCCTCCGCAATTAGACGTTCTTGGCCACTCTTAACTGTAACATCATGTAACTTTGCTCAAAAATCTATAAATTATCGTGCGACCAAGATATGGAACAAACTCCCACGCGATTGGGACCCAAACTTGAGTTATAACAAATTTGTACAAGCCGTCCGTGAACACATCATTAATGCACATGACGACCAATATTGTTATTGAGTCCATTAGATATTTTTTAGGTTAAGTATATAGTTTTATCTACTTGTGTCATAGTTTTTAAACCAGTTTTGTAAACTGATAACTATTAACACGTGAATAAAGGTTTAAATCAAATCAAATCAAATACGTGTACAACTCAGATCTGGTTGGGACCAATTTTATTTTGTTCACCACAAAAAATAAGCATACCCGTATTTTTTCATTTTTCATAATGCGCTAATTTGAGCGCGAGGCGCGAATTTTAAAACATTTTTCAGCCAAAACCTCGGTTTTTAAAAATTCTGTAAATTTTCGAATTTTAGCGCGAATCCAAAAATTCGAAAACATGTCTCTTCAGAATGATCTACTTGACTTATAAAAAATCCACATGCATTATTTTTCGAAAAATTTATAATTTGAAATAGTTTGTAATTTTAATGAATTTCAAAAACTGGCAAAAAAATTTTAAATTCGAATTTCGAGACAATTGGATTTTTCATAAGGCAGGTAAGTCATTCTGAAGAGACATGTTTTCGAATTTTTGGATTCGCGCTAAAATTCGAAAATCTACAGAATTTTTAAAAACCGAAATTTTGGCTGAAAAATGTTTTAAAATCCGCGCCTCGCGCTCAAATTAGCGCATTATGAAAAATGAAAAAATATGTGCATGCCTATTTTTTGTGGCGAACAAAATAAAATTGGTCCCGACCAGATCTGAGTTGTACACGTAAAAGACTTGCATTGTAAGTGCTTGCTTTTCCAGTTACTCTGACGACGGGAGGTTAATTTTGATCAGTTGTAAAGTTTTTGCGATTTTTAGGTGAAGAATTATTCAATATTTTAACTAAGGTTTAATTAAGCGTTATTAGAAAATCAATAGGACTAACTTTTTGTTGATTTACAATCTAGAAAATGGAATCGTTCCTCCAACCGGAAGTGAATTGTGTATTTTGCGATGTACCTTTTGTCAAGAAGAAAGCGGAAAACAATTCCCAAATTTTTTAAATCTGGTCAAGCCGTTGCGTTGAATCAATTTCTTGCCTTTTCAAAATTCCTGGAGATCATCCCATCCGACATATTTTAATGGGTGGAAATTTCTGTCCTAAATGTCACCAAACAGTTCGCGAGGTCGACTTTACGCTACGTAATTTTTCCAGATTGTTCACAAAGGTGGAGAAATTACAGAAGGATATTTTGCAGAAAGTAGCGACTAAGGAGGATGGAGACATCGTGAAAAGTATGGAAATCCTCTAATTATTTGTACGAATTTAAAGTTAACAGTATCTAATATTTTATTTCTTTTACGCGACATAATTTAGCATTTCGCCAGGCCAGCGCCGAAATAAATGTGGGAATTGAACAGTTCAGGAATTTAATGGGTTTGAAAAATCTGGATTCGTCCCTGATAAAAGTTGAAATTGATTCTAAAATGGAAGGAATAGGAAGAACAAATGAAAAATATTTCTACGAGCTTCCATCCCGCAGCAAGGACAGGAATAAGAGAAGGCGACAAAGCGATCTGCTACAGACTCAAAAAAGTGTAACTGAAGAGGATGATTTTGACCCCGGCGTGTCGAGATTTTTTTGCGATGTTGCCGAAGAGGATAATGATGATGAGGACTATGAGATAAAAAGACCTCCTAAGAAACGACAAAAGGAGAAAGGGCCGAGGTCGACAGAAATTTTAAAACCGTTCAAATGCTCGCGATGTTCGACACGGTATTCTTGCCTACTCACGTTTAACGCTCATAAGAGAAAGGTGCACAAAAGTGAGTAAAATTAATAATTTGTCCGACTGTAATTAAATCAGAGATGTACTTTTTATTTCTGAAGTTTTGAATTTATAGCAGTTTGATAGACTTATAAACATTTTGTGTTTTTTTGTATAGGAGATCCACTTCCATATCATTGTGACCAATGTCCAAAGAAATTAAGACAACTTAAATCCTTAAGAATTCACAAGAGGAATTGTCCGGGTCAATCGGCTGGTCCTCCCAAACCAACCATATTACCGACATCGGAGAACGATGTGGAGCACGATTCTGAAAATAATTCCCAGGATAGGAAAGAGGACGACATAACTTCGTCCGATTCTCGTGACCGTTCCTCAGACGAAGAAGTAGCGAAGACACAAACTCACAATAAGACGATACCCTGCCCCCTGTGTCCTATCAGATTCAGCTTTCTCCTCGCGATGGAGGGACACCGGGGGAGAATGCATGAAGGTATTTTGATCAGTGACTCCGAAGTTAGGGGGACATGGTCCCGACATAAATTAAAAAAATCATATCTTGTTCAAAATTTCCCCACATGTCCCCCTAACTTCCGCTGCTACGGACGCTGATAAGAAATCACAGGCTGTGGACATTTCTCATTTTTTTGAAAATTTGAACTTATTTCCTGCTTTCAGCCGACCCTTTCCCTTACCAGTGTTCTTCGTGCCCTAAAAAATTCAAAATCGCCAAATCCCTCCGTATCCACCTATCTCACCCTTGCCATAGTGGTGACGGTGCTCCACCCCCAAAACCTTTACCGTGTCCCCTCTGCCTGAAAAAGTTTAGTTCGGACTCGTCCCTGGAGCGCCACACCGCCAACCTGCACCCCCTCCACTCCTGCACTTTCTGCTCGCTGGCCTTCCCCTCCCCCGAAGAGACGGTCACCCACGAGCTCCTCCACCAAAATTCTGATCAGCCCTTCGCCTGCACGACTTGCCCCGGGGCCGCATTCCCAAACTCGGCCAGGCTCAAGGAACACGTGGCGGTTGCGCATCTCAACAAATTTTCCATCTGCGACTTCTGCGGCCTGAAATTTAAAAGTGTGACAGGTCTGAAGAAACATCAGAAACTTCATGACGAGTCGTTCGTCGGGTGTCGGTGTGACGTTTGCGGCGCCACGTTCGTTACCAAGTCGACCCTCGCGACGCACATGTTCAAACACGTGACAGACAAGGGGTTCACGTGCGAAATTTGCGGGAAGGGTTTCATTCATCCAGCCAGTTTGAAGCGACATCGGATCGGTCACGAGGAAAGGTTGCCGATCGAGTGCAAAATCTGTGGGAAGAGGTTTGCCACCAAACAGTTTTTGTTGGTTCATGAGGAAACGCATTCGGGAACGTTGAGCAACGAGTGTGACGTTTGCGGGAAGAAGTTTCAGACGAGGCAAGGCCGTCGTCGCACGTGGTGGGAGTGCACGGACCGAAGGGGACAAAGAAGAGGAGGGGAAGGAGAAGGAATAAGATAGAATTAAGAGATAACGACAATGAGAGTGATGAAGAGGAGGATGAGTTTCTTTGATTTTGAAATGTTTGGATGATGTGAAACTTTTGTGTGTAAAACGTTTTGCATATTTAAGACAATAAAATAGTCCGTATTTATTACATTCATTAACGTCTTTGTACAATTCGGAGATTTTTTGTACTTCAATTGTTAAGGTTTGCCGCAGTCCAAAACGTGGGAAGAACTCAGGGTAAGACAGAACAGTCACATTTGCAAAACTGATAAAATCAGTCTAAAATTGACTTGTTTGGCTTTACAGTTTTGTCAGAGAGTGAACATATTTAAAAATTATTTGCCAATTTATAAATCATATTAATGGTTTTAATAATAATAATTTTTATTTAAATTTGTATTTGCATACATTTACATATTCAGCATGTTTTTAAGAACAATTATTTTTGAGGTTGTACAAACTTGCTAAGAAAATTATCTGATTTGCAAACTGATTTTGTAAATCTATGTTTCGGGTAACCACAAACCTGGTTTAGATATTTTGACAGTGCCAGTAAACCTTGTAACACCATAAAATTATGGTATGACCAACGTATTTTGCCCCAACTATGAGGCTCTTCGAATTTTCTGCGGCAAATACCATGCCCCCGAGACCTAACACGACACCACAAATGATAAAGCTAGGTTGAATCAGTTTTACAGATACTTGCGTCGACTCGTGAAATCGTGCAATCTCCTTCACATTTCCAAAAGAGTTTTGAACAGCCTTAAAATATGTCTGTTTCCCAACGTGACGAATTCCCTTGAGTATCTTACCAATCATAATATATTTCTGCCAGATTAGCGCCATTCCTGTTTCGTGCAAGCGCCTCCAATCATTTGCGATAAAAGGGTACATCAAATTCTTAAACCCTACCGTAAATTCTATAACACGAAACGGCGATTCTTCCCTGCTCGGGGCTAAGTGCCGATTTACCCGTAGCCTAGTGGTTTTGAGGAAGAAGGCAAACATGTTTTCCGGCAGTATAATGGCGATCGTGGGTTGAGTTTGGGTAGAATTGTCGAGTATTAGTTTTCCCACCTTGGCTAACACGACCTGATCAGCTGCGAGAATCTTTTGTTGCAATTTTATTAAAACTTTAGTGAATTGTGGGCTATTTTCATGACTCAAAAGTAGTTAAGGGATAAGGAATTGAAGTAGGAATGATTCGTAACCACCGGTTTTAGGGTTATAACCTAAATCCGTTGCTATTATTGGGATGTCCGAGCTAACTAAATCGTTAAATCCGTGCGGAGTTTTGGCCGGAAAGAGGACCGTAAGACATGAATAGATTGATCCTTGATATACATTAGCCGTTAGGACGAGGTACCCGAATAGCCAGAGGATAATAAGAATCATGGCTGCTTTTCCGGTGCGATAAGTCTTTCCTGTAGTTTCGCCGACTTGGCCGAGAAAAATGGATGTTACGGTGATCACCTTTTCCGCCGTGAGCACAAGGATAAATCTGTTATGCATGGCTGTCTCGTTGAGCCCCAGCCACAAGAAAAATCCTATTACGGCAATCATGCTGATCAAAAGGAAAGTCCAAGTCGTCGGGTCCAAAGGGGAAACAAAGGTTTCCACGCCGCCAGCATGAGACGGCGGGTTGCTGATTGTTAGAAAGTTGAGGGGCGCAAAGTTGGTTTGACAAATAGAATCATTTAACCCGTTATAGGACTTGGTATCGTGCAACTGGCGGCCAAAGCTTTGAGTTACCGTATGATTTCTGTCATCCAGCTGATTTATCTTTACTTGCGATAAGGTTAGATTATACTTTGCTGCAATTGTTTTTATGAGACAGAAATATGAATCGTCTATATTACCGAAGGCATGGTAAAGTAAGCCACAACTTCCTGTGGCTTCTTCGATGACTGCGTAGTAAAGAACATATTTGTGCATATTTTTGTTCCAGGTGTTCCAAGCTTGTCGAACACGCAAGAGGGATGTAGCGTACAGTTGTGGAAATCTCATCGGGTTGCAGTTAAACAAGGAATGAAGAAGTTAAAGGAACCGGAACAATATTCAAAAAGTAGAAGCTTCGCGGTGCCAATTAGTTCAGCTGCGCGTGCGTAGCATACCGCATCAAGACTAATGGCGGTATGACTAAAAATAAACTCTGGTCGAAATACTCGCGCACTGTGAGAGATTAGACGTTCACACTTGAAATATGTTTCACTAGTGGGGCCTATTGATTTGCCTAAGGGAATGAAAATAGCGTGAGGCCGGGACGATTTTTGCAAGTTGGGATTCCCTAAATTGTTCTTTAGCATATGGGGTAATTGAATATCCCTTGAAGTGTGGCACAGGACTAGATGGCGGAGCGGAGTGTAGGAGTTCGCCCTTCGTATTGGGTGAAAATAAGGGACATCAAGCACTTCAGAATTTATCAAGTCGGAGCACGACGAGGTGAAAATGAACGTGAGATCAGCCTCCTGGAAAATATTGTTTTTCCAAATACTCGCTGAAACAGTTGAGAGTGCAACATAGATAATCAAAGTCAAGTATCTTGACGTCATGGTGATTTTTAAAGGCTAATGTCTAATTGCAGTCCCTCAGAGAGATCCTTCGAGTGGTTGGTAAATGTTCGGAATATAATTTATTAAAAACTACGAGCTCTTCAAAGTAGGATACAAAAATTTTCTTGGCAACTTAAAACTAATGTAAAGTGTTAAAATTATATTCGGCTTATCTCAACATTCTCAACCTGGTTTCTCAATTCTATGACCTTGAAGTTGACGGTGGCCGGAACTAGTAATATGAAATATGTGGTTGAACGCAATTAATTCCCGTAACACAAAAAAATTGTTAATATTTTGATTCCATAATTTCGTTTTTGACCAAACAGCAGATAAATGTTTTGTGGTTTAATCCCAACAACTTTAAGTCCCAGACAGGATTAATCTTTTGCTTGAAATTGGTTTCGGCAAGAATATTGATATCCTAATAAGGTAATTTAATATTGTTTGTTGCACTCTAAATAATTTTTTTATGAAATATTACTGAGCGGGGTTCAGATATTTATCTATGACTCCACTGTGGGTCGAAATATTATATTACTGCATAGTATTGAACTTCAAATGTCACGGACCAATTTCCGCAATTAAAAAGACTTATTATTATAAATAGTAGGCATTTCGGTAGGATACGTGTATAAATTATGGTCCAAAAAATCATCCCTGGTAATAAATATAAATATGTTACCGAGAGTTGTTCTAAATTTGAACTACGTTGGTAAAAAATGTAGTCACCGTGTGGAAATGGATATTGGCGGATGATTTTTAGTGTGCAATACTTTACGGATCTATAACACTTATAGAAGAAATAGACTAATATGTAGTGGATTTACATAATTTGTTTTCTTACATGAGGCTCTAGGCAACTGTCACCTTACATACATAATCACGAGGCATATAAATATGTAAATGATCCTGTGCTTCATAAATATTTATAACGGATATTCTGTGTGGGCCAAATCTGCCTTTGTTCTTACATAATTTTTCTTGTTTATTATTTTTCTATTACAACACGTAAAACTTGTCATGTAAAGAAACATGACAAGTTTTAAGTAGTAAGTCCCAAAAAAGGACACTAAGGAAAGTGACATTTTTTGGAACTTACTCCTTAGAAAAACCGTATGACCCTACGAACAAACAAGAAAATGTTTAAATTGAGCCATGATTTTCATAATTACATGGGGAAAACATATGTGTTTGTAGTTATTGAGTGACTAATTTTGTTCTCCATCTTCACAAAATCGACTGGATCCTTTAATTAATTACTTCAATTGAAAAGACCAATAAGCAAAATCTGACAGAGAAGAGATAATAAAATAAGAATACTTACGAATGAAACTTATCTGTGCCATTGACATTCGACAAAAGTTATGCAAACCAAAGTAATTATTTACATATTGTAATACCCAAACATAGTTTCAAAGATGCACCCAGATATTATTTTTGAGTCATAATATCTGACAAAGAAAAACAATGTTAGTTCTGGATATGTAGATTTGGTCCTGGTACATGCTTGAGGTTCTCATGTATTAAACATATGTACATGTACATAAATATCTTACAACAGGGTATAGTTTGCATGGGAAATTAATATGTAGTTATGCAATTGCATGCAAGGTACATGGACAAAGTGGTGGTGGTGGTATCAAAGTAATTTAAGGACAGTGACACTCAGTTCACAACTGTTTATTTCCAGAAGTAAACGGACATACACAATTTTTATGTAGAATTTGTTTAATTTCGAAAGATATTGTAGAGAAGTTTTAATAAGTGTATTTAGTTAATACATTCACTCAAAATAAGCTAGTAACTAGTATTACTGGTCTAATTTCTTGTTACCAATTGGACATTTATTACCACGCCGTGATTAACTTATCTATACAGCAAAAAATATTATCAGTAAATTGATTTATATACTTTCAATAAAAAATTGTTATCATGGCGGTAATATTTTTACTCTATAGATTAGTTATGTATGTGTTCACGCTAAGTAATAAATATCCAATTGGCAACAAATTTATAACCATGGCGATATATCGCCGTCTAGTAATACTTGTTACAATTGGATATTTATTACTTGGCCGTGAATAACTCATCTATATTATGCAGTGGAGAAATTTTCACCGCGTGGTAATAAATTTATTCCCAGTCGAAAACAGTTGTTATCATAAAGGCACAGTCTCACCTAAGGTACCGAATATTTGGAGTGTTAATTTTTTTCGCCGTTAACTGATAATGCTGAAGGAGGACGTGTGTGAAGTCAGTGGCTAGAGGTCTAATTAATTTTTATATTTTTATAGCAATTGAATTGTGTATGTCCACATCTTTTCTCAGGGAGGAAATTTAGTGACGTGTCATGATGACGACGATGCCACTGCCAGCCTGCCGTGTGGATTTATTCCAGATGTACATAATTTCATTATGTCTTAATTTTTGCGGGTTAACAATTCATATGGACCA